TGAACAATTATGTATATTTTATCTGTGTTGATGACGGTCAACTTATAGACAGAAAAATAAAAGAAAACAGAGTTTTGATATACATCAATTTTACCATAAATTAGGATTTGATTTAATATATATACACTCATTTTTCAATGAAATTGTTAGTTCATCAGACAAACAAATAATTCATATGATAAAAAAGATCCTGGTCATTTTTCACCATCAATTTGCCGTTTAATTTATTTAATTACGCCGGTTATCTCCTCTCCCTCGGAGAATAGGCAACCCCCCTAGGATGCTCCCTCCTACATTGTCTTAGGCTCACCTTTCCAAGTGTCGACAAGTGCGATTTATTCTTTTCATGTATATCTGTATTTCCTTGCACAATATGCCCCTTTGTCTTAGTCTTTTCCATAATTCGGAGTTAGGGATTACCTCCTGACGCAGTTTGATGATTTGCATATTGTGTACGATCCATTTCGTGTTTACCTGGAAGTTGGTATCTTCTTTGTCACTGGAGATAGTAACTAATGGTATCTGACAAGCCGATTCGGAGTCCCTTGTGTAGAAAACTCTTAATAAGAAATAGTATCTTTTGAATAATGGCTTTTGTTGTTCTCCAGGTGTCCGCTTCATACAATACAACAGTTTTGAAGTTTGTATTGAAAATTTTAGCTCTGATGTTGACTGACATTTCTTTTGAGTCCTAGATGTTCTTCTATTTGAGGGAATGCCGTCCTTGCTTTGGAAATTCACTCATTCATTTTTATATCAGACCTACTTATCAATGATTTCGCCATCAATATAAAACAGTGAGCGACGCTGTTATTAGGAATCGGGTGCTAGGTAAGAAAGGCAGATCAATAGATGAAGTAATGAAACTTCATCAGTTGAGGTGGTTGGGGCATGTTGTGCGTATGCCTAACCACCGACTGCCTCGTCGAGCTTTGTTTTGTAGTGTAGGAATAGGTTGGAAGAAAGCTAGGAGCGGCCAAACCAAAACATGGCAGAAATCCATGAAGTCATTGACAAGTGGACTGAGCCATGTCGGTAGTTGTCGACTACCTGGTTGGGGTCCGCGAGATGATAATAATCGATGGTTAGGAACCCTGAATGACATGGCTCAAAACCGTTTGCAATGGCGCCGGTGCATTTATTCTTTGTGTTCTCTCAAATCCCAATCTTCCTCTTCTTCTTCAACACCCCTAGTTTTGACTTTCTAAACTTTACTCACTGAATCATACTTCTTGAATAATATCTTCTAATCCTAACCTCTCCGATTAATTCTAATGCCATTACTACCTCTTCTACTATTGGATTTGAATTGACAATCATATCTCTGTGCTGATGTGGTATGGCGACATGAACTGATGTACCTACGTACGAAGTTCTACGTTGCATCTGACTGACTGAATGACTGACCATCAATATAAATTAGTTATTATTAATGATTTGATGGAGTTTTGTTCAGGCTGATCAATTGTACAGGTTGTTTCCCGTACGGATTGATTTCATTTGCGGTACGACTAAACTCAAGAAGTGCTAGGCAGTTTTCTCATCCTATCTCACTAATTTAAATGAACAATTATAGTCAGCACATTTTTAACTTACCCCAGAATAATCTTAAAGTACTAGTGTGAAGTCTTGCTTAGTGTAGGAAATTCATAACCAGATTGGAACAGTTGTTAGCAGTAGAGTTTGATGTTTATCAAACCATATAAGAAACTAATTGAAGTTGGAACTATATTATCGGACATCAATTCATGGGTTCTAATGAATAAATATCTCCCAGGAGACTTGCATGTCCTGAATCCAGTACATGGTGAAATTGTGGGTTGAAACTATTCGGAAGATTAGCACAATGATGAGAAAGCTATTTGCATGTGAGCGATTCTCAGTAATGTCTCTATTGTAACCAATACAACTTACACATTTATTATTTGATTTGTTCACTTTCATTTGTCATCATGAAATGAATATGTTATTCGGTGTCTTGATTGTCAAAGACTGTCGACAAAGTTTTAAGGATACAGATTTCAAATTTATTTTGATACCCATCACTGAATAATAAACATATAATCCTTTTTTATATTGAATAAACTATAATAAATATCTATCCCAAGTTATATGAAAATTTTAGTAATTCTTCATATGAATCAGTCATAGATTAATGTAAACCATCGAACGCCAGATTACTTATCAATGCTTAGCACATTTAACAATATAAGCAGTTTTCATGTCAATCCTCTTCAATAAATGAAGATGTATTACTCTATGTACGGCCTTCCTACGTATTTATTGTTTGATTTACTTGAACAACGACTTCTCAATTGTTTATTGCATTATCCGTATATGGACACATATTTACTTGTTATACTATATTGATCTCTTCCGATGCGCCTTTATTGATCATATAATTTTAGCTGTACTCTGAAATTAATTATGCTAGATATTTCTTTCTGTCTTCCAGAAATTATAAATTTTTTTTGGAGTTCAAGTTGTTCGATCAGTTAGAATATCAAATTTAAGAATAACCATTACGAAAATCTCTTACGTGTTTTCTCGTAGTGAGTACCATACCGATATCGAATTGACCTACAGAATTTAACTAACATTTGCCACAATTGCATCCACGATTAGTAAACCATTGAATTTCGTTTATTTATCAATAATTAACGTGGTTTCAATTTCACCTACAGTTAATATGACTAAAAAAAATTAATCGACATGATGTGTTAATTGATGAAATGGATATTTCAAAGAGATAATGCAAAACTGTTTATCTGCGGGATAAAAAGACACTACAAACTGAGAAAGATCAAAATAAACATCATATGCATGTTGTACAGTAAATAAAATTGCATCTTTCTATGACTTACAGAATTACGTCATGACACTATATCGATGAAAGTGTATATTTGATTTTTGTTAATATAAAGAGTTTATGATGAGACAAATTCGTTTTGGAATTACGAGTATACGGTTTTTTTTAGAAATTCCAAACTAGTACATAACATTTCTTATAGCGATTCTAACAACTGTTCGTCAATGAAATACTTATGTGTACTGTTCGATTAATTAAAACTGAAAAATTCCTGCTTATTCTAAGCATGGAATGTATGTATCAATTATTATCCCTAGAGATAAATTTGCATTTAAATGATTATTTAAGAAATTGCATTTAATGGTCTGAAACAATGAACCACAAGTGTCATGCATGCCAAATAATTAAATCATAACATTTATAACTATTAAAAACATCGACATCAATGCGAGGAATTATTTAATGATATTAAAATGAAAATTGGTCAACTATTAGACGACATATAAACAACACAGAATATTCAGTTCACGTTGTTTACATAATTTTGTTTATTTTCAACAGTAAAATGACGCATTTTTTGATATTGTACAACCAAGGTGTTTATTACTTTTTATTAATATTTGGAAGTCATTGGTTACCAAATGAGTAGAGGATTTTAAAGCTAATTGTCAGGAAATAAGATGGATTATGTAAGAAGACACAACAGAAAACATCTAGGTTAGTGTATTTATTTTAAAATGACGCTAAAAATATGTATAATACATGGTATAGTAGAGTGCACAACCAAGAAATGCATTCTAATTTACGCTTAGTTTGAGTTTTGGGGTTCATATATTGTTTCGTTTTAATCAGTAACTTCAATCTTTGCAGTAGCTAATGGTGCTTGTGTTCAAAAATAATTATAACTTGGTTATCAGTATCAAAAATTTAATTAAAATTGAAAAAATTCAGCAATCGCTTCAGTACGTTGAGGTTGTTTATCCTAAGACCTATTACTATTCTTAAAGGGAATTCTTCTCCAGAATCGTTAGTTCACAACAAAATGTGGGAAGTTTTATATTAAAATTTACGATATTTCTAACTATATGATAATTTAATTTCATAACATAAACCAGAAGTTTAATTGGCATGTCCAGTTAAAACAACCATGAATTGACCAAACATAAAATTGCAAATGATTGGATGATAACTCAATAGTTTAAAAGTTAAGCACCTGGTGCAAGCCCTGAATGTACTGGATTTTTAGTGATAATCATTTATAACAGTTCCATAAAATACAATCTATTCAGCGCTCATTCACTTTCCAATTGATCTCAGTATTCGACAGTAAAAATAGTTACTATTCAAGCCTCAGTATTCTTTCTGCACTGATTCATAAAAACCTACTATAATAGAGAAAAAACCAGGTCCCAACAAGGTAAGAAATTATGAAAAAACGCTTCAGGTGGATAGGACACACTTTGAAGAATTTTCCGAACATCATAAGGCAAGTCCTAACTTAGAATTCTGAATGCCAAATGTAGAGCTGTAGACAAAGGAACACACTGTGCCGAGAATTGGAGACAGACATTAAAAAATGAGTAGCAATTGGGTCAAAATCTAGAGGAAAACACAAGACAGACTATGTTGGAGAATGCGAGACGGTGGTCTTGTAATTCTGAATATTCACTGGGTTTTTTTTAACTAAGACCATTGCATGATACAAACTTGAAAAGTGAACACTACGGCCAACAATATAATCAGTCTACTTAATTAAACTCTCCTGTTATCATATTTTATCAGTTACCAGAATATTAATACTATCACATGACCTATCAATTTTTTTTAACAGATATCACATATATTATTTCCAAAACAGGGTTAATCATACGAACAAACCTCGTAAAGCAGTAAGATTTAATTAATTAGTTATAATCTTTCTAACCATAATATTTCATTCATTTGTCATTGGTTAATTCAGCTAAGTGTTTACAGCATCCGTTTAAAAACATGCGAACGCTGTTATGTAATCAACCGCAAACACCCTCCACCTCATCATACATTAAAACAGTACTAAGGATTAATCTGATTGGTTATATGATGAGTAATGGTTATGACTCACTAAAAATATATATAAATATGCCAATTAACATATTAAGGTTTCACATGATCAGATACTACAGAATTCAATTTTTATTGAATGAAAGTTAAAATGAATACTATGGATGTTAATCATACAGAGAATAATGGGAATAAAAAAGTTCATTTAGTAAATATGGGATCTAATGAAGTGAAATCCTGTTCAAGAAGAGGTCGAAAGTCAACAATTCCACCGGAACTCAGAGAACAAACAAGACGAGTAAGTTGACAATCAAGTCATGTGACTATAATTTTAAATAATTTAGAGTTAGTTTGTGACTAGTACCTATTTAGATATTTATTTGGTAATTATTTAAAAATAAAGAGTAGGATTTTATCCTCGATAAATCATAAGAAACGATTTTTCCCGTAATGATTCTTTTATCGTATTGAACGGTCGCATGCATAATGCATGCGGTGTTTCCAAAAAATAATTTCTGTATGAAGGTGTTGCAAACTATAAAAAGCTGTTGAAGATTCTAAGATAGATGTGGTGTGTTTCACCCTAGATTGATATTTATTAAATAGTAAGTAGTCATGTTCGATCCGTAAAATAAAATTATGAATTTACAGGCGTTTTGGTGAGTACATTAAGTTTAGACTAATCAAACGGTATTACGATCTCTCGAATATTCATTTTGATGGTTTAAACTATTCTCATAAACCAACGATATCTACTTATTACAATAGATTAATCATACCATTATAAAAATATAGATTACTGAATTAAAGCTGTATATCATCTAAAAAGTTCATAATGAGCTTGTATATTCTTGTTATTCATAAATAGAACAGGAGATAATTTAACATAATTGTCATGAAAAATGAATAATACTTATTCTATGAGTATTATCTATCTGGACTCATTAGATGAGCGGATCACGTGCTGGGAATGGGACGTTACTGAGTTTAATTTTCAGCTAGAACATCAAATCTGGGGTGCAGATATATTCTGATGACGAGTCCCTAAAAGGACGAAATGACTATCCTGGATTCCAATGCTAGCCACCTGGATTTCTAAAAATCTTTCAAATGTTGTTCAATTATTGTATTCTTACGTTTTTTAGTTCGATTTTACTTGACTTGAACTACCATACTACTGTAACCTTTATTATACACCATTATATAAGGAAAATAACTGCCCGATGATAAAAAAATATTGATCCTCATATTGTTTCATCTAATGACGGCAATAAAACTTGGATAAAAAAGTTGAGTATGAGTCGATTAATTCATTCTGAGAATAATATAGCATATAAAAATATAAGATATTCAATGAACATATGAATCGTTGAGAAATGGCAATACAACGACTTAAAAATGTGATTCAACTCTTATAATCCATATAACCACAAAAGAATAGATTGACCTATACACTGTATTATGAAAACATGAAACAAGTCAAATGTAAAAAATCAACATTAAGATGTAAATTATACGTTTGTTCAAAAATTGGAATAAGCCATGTGTGGCCTCCTAACCACTATAACCTAATCTATTTTGTGATTACATTGAACTCTTTAAGAAGCTCTGCTTTAATGCTGAATTCACATTCTATGAAAACTAAGGCTGAGTAATTTTTCGAGACTGAAATCTTTTGATAGAAACGTTCCTTTATCGAAAAGAAACACTCTAAATAACATCCGCGGAATTTTCGCACTTTCTGAATGATGAAAATTATCACAGAATGATGTATGATTTTTAATTTTAACAAAAGATCCCTACTTTTGAAACTAACGTGGGAATCGCGGCAAACAGATTCGAAGAAAATTATTTTATTCGATTAAATCCTTGTCAGTTCTTCAATAATATGTTTATTTTTAAATTGTTTCCTAAACACACACTCTCCAATATTCACTCTTGGATTGACTGCTGTAATAATTTTTTCCAATATAGCATCATTTAAATTCAGCGTATTGTTTTATTCTTTAATTTTTTCTTCAGATTAAAAAACAAAACATTGAACGAAGTCGTCGAGCTTGCATAGCTAATAAAATGTCTGAATTACACCAACTAGCTATGAATCTAATTGGATTAAATGTAAGTTATTATTGAAATAGAATTTATTTAGTATTATATATTTAAAAATTTAATTAATGTACTAATTGCTTTTCACTCGAAATAAGTTTGTAATGAATAAATGCACTATGACGAATTTAGAATAGTAGAATAAATTAACACTAGAAATTTAATTTTGTTTTTGCACTCTACTTCTCGACAATTTACTGCGTAACGTAGTAGTATATGAACATAATTTTCCACGTTTGTCATCGATAAACTATGAAATAAAACCCTACTAAATCATAGTTGTATATGACTGATTGAATTGTTGTATTCATCTGATTTCATATTGATCTATACTTTGGTTATTTTCGGTGTTATTCAATGTTTTGCTTTATATTAAATATTGTACAATGAATTATATATAGATTGAATATACTTTGATTGCAAATATTTTTATAAGATTATGCGATTCAGATAACAATTAATACAAATTTAAATAAGTAATTATATAGTTGAACAGATTTAGTCTGTGAATTTTTGCCATCCATGCAAATCAAGAATTAGCATACATGGATGAATTGTGTTATTTTTAAATATACGTATGTTATTAATATGATTTTGTTAAGGTAATGTATAGTTAAATGTCGAATGTCATCATAGTTTAGCGTCAAGTGAAGAAAAGAAAATTTAAATACCAAAGAAATAGATTTTGACTTCATTCTTGTTTCTATATTTCAAGGAATCCTATTTTACAAGCTAATCAGTAAAAACATTATTTGTTCAAAATGTATTAAAATCAGCTTTAAACATAAATAAATAAGAGTTAACTTTCGTTATACATGTATTGAGGTTATTGATTTTTATTGAAATCATTAATCGGTCAGTGTAAGACCACTTTTTGAAAGCTGGAAGCACTGAATGGCCATTTCATACTAGTATATTGTGCAACAACAGTGCGGATCCAAAACCCACAGAGGCGGGTATCGAAACCAGAGCATTTACGCTCGTGCGAAAAAGTTTAACATCTAGACCCCCAGGCAGTTAGCAAGAATGGTAATTGCTTACCAATAGCTTGCATCACAATAAATCTCCTGTAGTACTATGAGGAATTCATAAACTGAGGAATACATCTAGTTGATATTCAGCGAGAATCCATAAAAAAACTTCCTTTTTTCCATCATGGATATATCGCTAGTCAGGTCTGTTGCATTCAGCTGATCTTTTTTTAATCCCTTATCATAAATATTCACATAATATTCCAAAATAAATTTTTGTTTAGGATTTCAGTTATTTGTTATTAGAAAGCAAATATCTATAATGATACTGTCATATTTGTGGATCTAATTAACTCAATGTTTGTGATGTGTAATTCTATGCACGAATATTTGTTTGTCAATCATAAAATATATAGAAAAACACTAGCATTATTACCATTTTCATTTACTTACAGTTCATCATAACAAACAATAAATTAAGCTATAAGTTGAAATGATTCTTTTATTTTGTGAATTTTCTCAAGAAATTCAAACTGAAGTTCACAGAAATTTTTCGAATCATAATAGATATCTTCTAAATTTCTTTTATTTATTTCTTTTAAAAGAGAATTTACATTTACTCAATATTTGTCATATGAAATGTCAACTAAAACTTTCAATGAATACTGGCTTACTGGAACATATCATCATTGGATGTTCATTCTTTTATTGCATAGTTCTAAACATTCAAATTTAGTTTCTTTTCATTCAATAAATCTTTTTTTTTTAATTTTTAATTTGATTTGTACAAAGATATCAGAACAATCGAAAACAGAAAAAGTGGATATTTTAGGCATGTGTTATGAAGTGTTTAAAAATGTGACAATTTTATTCAATGAAAGACCAGGTAAACAAATTAACTATTAATATTTTTCTTTTTTAAATGTTTTAATGATTAACATTAAAGTTTATCTCCATCAATTGTACAGAAAAAGTACATTTCAAATACAGCGTCTATGAATTTTGAGCTGTTTAAAAAAGAGTGCTACTTTAGAGTTACTTTAGAGATCACAATTATACATGATTTACAATAAATGAGCTTTATTTTGTAAACAATAGTATTTGCTGATTTGAATTGTGTTAATAGACTTGACCAATAAGATTGTTTGAACATTTTCATGGATGTTGGATAGTGAACTAGATACATTTCACATGTTATATTATTTTTATATATCGGTAATCGTTTATCAATTGATTATTAGCATATCTCTGTTTCTATTTCAAAATTGTTTTTTTCCATAGAATTAAAAGAAAAATTAAAACAAATGTGTCATAAAGTTGGATTAAAATCATTGAATAAACATCATGATCTATCTACTGTTAATCATGATATGATAATTCGAAAAACAGATGCATCAAATACTACTTATTCAAATATTCACCAATCACCATCCATTTGGAATAAAGAAAATTATAATCCTACCAATCAGCATTTATTAATTCCATCAGAATTGAGTGCATTCACACCTTTAGGCAAACTAGAAAATACTACTAATTTCCATATTATGAATCAATTAGATTATCAATCTACACCAATACAATTACCGTTTATAACAAATGACAGCGGTTATTTCGAAATGAATCATTCATCATTATTATCATCGTCATCATCATTAATATTTCATGCGAATAAGATCAATTCACGATCGATAAATTTGTCAAATGAATTCATGGATTCAACTCAATCATCATGTTTTCAGCACAAGTCGATTAATTCAATATTACAATCAAATGACAACATTGACGTTGATGAAAAGCAAACAGTTCACACAGAAGAGACAAAAGAAAATTTAATGTGGAGACCATATTTAGACTGAAACAGTTCCTAGCAAATGTTTATATTTTTATTTTTTTTATTGATATTTCTCATTTGTATATATATCATATTTTTCTGGGATATTACACATGACAATAAGTTTACCTCAAAGAACTTGTCAACATGAATTATCTAGAATGTTTTTATCTGTAGAAATAAAATCTTTTTCTTTCATTTTATTATTATTTCTAAGAAAGAATCATTTTTATATTTTATATTTGTTGGTTTATCGATTAGATAAATCACAATGTTTATTTAATGTGGAGATTTATATTTTTATATATTATAAATTATATTTTTGATATTCCCTTTTAATTCTTACCTAAAAATAACTTAATGTTCAAATAAAAAACATTCTACTAATATTAGTGATTTCATTTTATATAACTTAGTGGTAATTTGTAAAATTTAGTTTAGTAAAATTTGATTAAGATAGTTAAGAATAAATCTGATTTTGTGAAGACCATATATATAAAAATGATAATTGTGACTTATTTAGTAATTAAGGCATAATTTCTAACCAGGTTCCGAGAGTTGCACAATAGATAATAAGTTTTTTGTGTGCGCGTATCTTTTATTGCTAACTTCCCTGAAAAATCCAATATACGAACGGAACTAGGTATAGATACGTTGCACTTGCTGCCTGGCTTAACACTTCAATTTGCATGCATGAGCAAAGATATATCATGAAAATTCGAATAGGCATGATGTTGAAACCAATGGAAACTGTGAATGTGATTGAATTTTTGTATTTGTAGGTAATACGCAAGATAAAACTGATCATTTTGTGCAGTTTTGATTATAAAATTCCTTGATAGTTATTACCAATATCACATTTAGTGTTTTCCCTCAGCAAATCAAGCCTGAACTCAAACTGATTACATGACAATGTGTTCAAAACTGATACCTATTTACGAATACGTGTCTACACTGTGATCAATTTTCGGTTTCTTCGAACACTTTACGTTTCGATAACCAGCAACATCTCGTTCGTAAAAAGATTGCTATGAGCTAATTGACTTAGCCTCCATTGTAAAAAAATGTAAAACCGAAATTTGTTCAGAGAACATTGGCCATTATTAAATATAAGTGAAATTGGGATAGTTATACATCACATCATAAAAATGGGGCATCACTTCTTCTGAGGCTTGGTGAAACGTCAAGCATATAAGTACTACAAATGTTCAGGCAACTTACCAATACTTAAAGAATGGTCGTCTGGTCTAAGGTACATGATAAACAGTTATACATAAATAAGGAAGTTAAACTGTATTTATGGAACAAAAACTGGTAGTTGAAGATTGCTAACGTCTTGGAAGTCGGCTGTCTCATCCGAAAATTCGAGAGTGAGTGAAACATTCTTTGGAGCTAAAAGAAGCCCACAATCTATTAAGGATGATGGTGATTTTCTTGTCTGTCTGGATTGTTTAGAAAAGCTTGATGAATAGAGGGCATATAATTTTTTATTTAAGAAAGAGGCGTGTGACATTTGTACAACAACTATGGGGCATAAATCTATTTCTGATTTCTTCCAGACTATGCAATTTGCAAATATTCCTAAAGATGTGAAAGTCTGACTTATCAAGTGTAAGAAAGCTTTGTTCTCGTAGTGCATGAAGATGTTAGAGCATTAGTATACTTACTGCAGCTCAAAGTCGTTATGTTCTTCGAATCCACAGCTACATTTCGTCGTTAGAACGGGACAATTCTCATCGATTGCTGTAGAAGGACAGCGTATATGAGAGTTTTATTATAATCTTGAACGTTAAGAATACAAAATTCTTAGGTCAACCGAATGCATGCAACTACCTATGTCCATTTTTTTCCACTTATGCATAGGTTAACGTCTCTAATGCTATTAGGTAGCAGGATTTTAGTTCTGATACCTGGAGAAAAACTCCCCAACAATCAAGTTATACAAATGCAATGAATCATTTGACAGATAATTTCCATAGGTATGCCATAGTCAATATACTTCCAGGTCTAGAGCATTTTTACAAAACTGAGAGCCCGTGAATTTATTCAGTTTTTTAACTGGTTAACTAGAAGTAATGGAAAATTTCTAGTATCTGAGTGGTTGTGTGAGCATTGTTGGTAGTTTAAGTGATCTAGACAATTCATTTGTGAGAGAAGCTTTGCCTTATTTCGGTGAAAAATGAACTTTCTGAGTTTTGGGTGTTAAAAAAATTCATGTGTTCAATCACTGTTCATTCTGAAGGAGCGTTTACGCCCGAGTGGCAACATCATTTAAGCAATGCTGTGATTTGAAAATATGTGCTCGGCTGCAATTACGCTAATACATTTAGCGTCACTATCATAAACAAACAGATTCAGCTGGTTGGACATATGAAACGAATGTCATTTTAAAGATTTACAAATCGCGTATAAACTGCTGACTCTGTGTCAGTATTAAGAAAGGTGATCTGTTTATAACACGCCGTCAGGGCATAAATAAAGATGTTCATAAATAGCTTTTTGTCTGTCGTAACGACAACTTGGTTATGGACCTAAACAAAACTCGTTTGGGATGTAATAAGATACAGATTATAATATAAACTATCGTTTTATTTCAAACTGTATATGAATTTGATGGGAAGTCTTTTGACTGAAAATCCGATTCTGATTGAATTTTTTTGTTACTGATTACTTTCTCCTTTCACGAAGTACTCTCACTCGCTTGTTTTTATCCATTTATTTATGTTCGTTATATTCCACATTTTCATAGTTTTAATTTCAAGTTTTTCTGAAAAATATTTATCTTGATGCTCATTTGTACCATTATTTATAGTTTTTAAATAATATGAAGTATATTAAATAGAAGAGATTTTTTAAAACATATTTAAATGAATTATTATTTGAAGTTCAGTTTTCAGATTATATTTTACTTATTCCTTTAAACTACTTATAAGTAGACAACTACATTGTGTCATATTTTCTCAGTCCTGATGATGGTTAAAATTTAGTGAGTATATTTATACTTGAAAAAAAAGGAGTTGAAATTCTACTAGCTAACATTCAAAAACAGCTCAAACAGTAATATTTAAAGACAAAAATTTTAACACGTTTACTGCTCGCATTGGATGCTTAGATTCCTTATACTACTATTAAATTCAGCTGCAAATCAATTTGATTATTCATTTCAGTATAATTTTAAATTTTGATAAAGACTATCTAAACTTATTCATTTATTTAGTAATAAACTGAATTTGAGTGTTTTGTAACTAAAGAGAAAAATCACTTGCCAAAAAATAACTTCAACGAACTAAGAAGATTTTTCTAACGTAGGCTACTTCAGATTGGTCAATAAAAACAAAACTTTTCAACCTTTATTCTGTGATCATAAGTAGTGAGACTTTTGTATGTTCAAAACTATTTCATTAGTAATATTCATTATGCAGTCTTCATAAAAATTCTAACTTATCGAACTATGCATTGATATCATGTGACTGTCCAGTCTTAGCAGTTTCTCATTCTTTTAAATGGCCAACTTCTTTTATCCACTTACAAAAGCAGAATAGTTATTACACTTTTTTATCTAATTTCTACATACAAGTCACGTGAGATAATAAAGAAAAATGTAAAATAGTCTAATTGTAAAGTAACTTTTAATGATTATTATCTTCAAAATATCATGAATTAACATGAGCTGAAGCAGTGTTGGGGGCCAAGGAGTGCTAAACAACTTCATTAGTTTTGCTTTATATACTCGTGATCCTAAAAAGATTAGGAACCAAAATATGCAAGTTTGACGAAGAGGTCGTAATCTTGGATTGATAAGTAGTCATAAACTAGCATGGAATAGTTCTCATTCGGTAAGATTTGCGTAATTCGATTTTCATTACTATTATCAATTATAATAATTTGTGTTTAACCTAAGGGAATGTATACGACCGACTTAGCATCATTTTGTTTACTTAACAAAAATCAGTCACATGAAATTAACTGTCTTGGCAACTCACATCTTTATATACAAATATAGACACACGCCAAAAAAATACCTAATGCCTTCGTTTGAAATAAAAACTAATTAATATTGTAAAACAAGTTTTTTTTATCTAAATTCTAGCAACAATTGCTTGTTTACATAAAACAACTTTATCCAACAAGTAAAGTAGATGTTTAGTAGAGATGACCGGTCCACTAAACACGTGTTTTCTCTTTTCAAATAATTCAACTATCCATTTTAATCAATTACAATGAATAAATAATTTTTTTTAACTGTTGCTGACTGATATAAATATTTATTCATGATAACATTTGACAAGTTATACGTATATATATATATATATATATATATATATATATATATATATATATATATATATATATATATATATATATATATATATATATATATAGATCTAGTATATAGATCTAGTAAATAGTTAACATGAACTAGAATTTGATATTTTGAATTAGAGAAGTGTAATATGATTACGAAATTCGGATGAAACAATAGAAATATTTCTTATCTGAACTAATTCATTCTAAATAAAAACTTTTTAATTCTATTGTACTTTTCACTATTTCTAGCAACGAAATAGTGAATACGTGAAAACTTGGTAGTTCGTTAATTCAAAAATTGATCATTAAATATAATTCATAGTGTTGATCAAGCTCTTGTTTAGAAAGTGCACTGTTGAATAATAATAGAACAGTTATGATACGGAGGATCAATCCAAATAAAATGTTCTAGTTCAGTTGTGGTAGAAAGTAAGTGATTAGTATGCTTAGAAATGTGTTAATTGGGCTATCAAACAACTTGAAAACCATTTGGTCTTGGCCTTACTGAATAAATCTCACTAATATATTTGTTTAAATAAAGGTTACCCTATCAACCACAAAGATTTCATTGTTTAAAAAATGTTTTTAAAATCTAATACTGAGTATGAAGGCAGTTTTCAGTGATTTTGGAGCTTGAAATATAAACCATTGAATTCTAATGCGCCAGTCTAAAACTAACATAGTCTTAACGACACCTGAATTAACTGAATTGCAGCCTCTACTGAATCAAGTATTCTACAGTGAAGTAGTTCCAAACGTGAACACAACAGTAATTCGTTACTACATGGTTATCAATAATTCACATGTTAATCTAAGACACAAACAATTTTAAATGT